ATATATATATATATATATAATTATGCGATTTTGTGTTCACTTCCGGCTCTCCGTGTCGCCGACGGCCGCTTAAGAAAGTACTGTTCCGACCATCTGCTGCCCGAAATTCGTGCGGATTCTCAAAGAACGTTTTTTGCACAACCTTAACCATTGGTTAGTGGTAATATCACATATTGGCCGCTTACGGCCTCATTGGCACAACAATCGCAGTACTAAATCAACTTAGTCCCGCTACCCATTGTTAAACATTCGGCTTTCAAAACTGTGTTCCCTTGTTTTGCATGTCTAAGGCGTAACAAAGCTGTCATTTAGCTACTCAACTGTTTATATATACCACTGTGTACTCTGCTGTGGCCAAAAGCTATTTGCTAAGGATATGCATCGTATTTCTCGTGCGCAGCCATTCGTTGCCCCTAAATAGTTGTCACTTTGAGCCGGTTCCTTTCCGATGTACCATACTAACACACTGACGTACCATCATCGTTGGCATTACTTTCTTCTTAGTCTACCCAAAAGGTTGGTTATGTCCAATTCAACTTCCAGTAGGTATCACTGCGCTTTCGCCTTCAATCCGCATAATACCTGCGTTTTCATTAGCTCAGGTAAATTCAGTATGGCTGATGAACTACGGGAAATATAACTATGCCCACTCTCATCACTAACCTATGGAGCGGAACATGGACTATCAACATCATGATAGCCGCTGGTCGGTTAATGGTCGGGATTGTTCACTTGCCACAGAATTTCCAGGGCAATTTCTCCTCGGATGTATGGTCCAACCTGGTCGCACGAGGGACACTGGTTGGGCATTGTGTTCCAAATTGCAAACTTTATGCGTACTGTAAGCGGCTAAACGCTAATAACCTGTGATTCTCGCCTTACCACGGAACTGGTAATATACCCAATAATTTGCCACCCTAGCGTAGATCCGTAACAACTATTTAGTTCGCTCGGAAACTGCCTGGGCACGCAAACTACGAATGAGCTCATGGATGGACTAAACCTTTATCCTGGCTGTCAGCGTTATGCTAGTGAGTATCGGGCAGCAATCGTCGAGATAGGGTCATATAGTCTGGCAATGGATTTCAAGGCGCAGAATGTAGGTAGCAAAAGCGATAGCAACGGGCTCGCATAGTCTGGTGACCAATGCCACCGAGCTTACATAGTGATGTGAATGTCGGATGTATAATAATACGAGGAGCAGGATGCCCTAGTTCTCTGTCTCGGCATGTCACCGTATTAGGATCGACTTGAGAACGTAGCAAGGTTGTCATAGGCCACGAAGAGTACGAAAGTGTAGTGTGCAACACTTGAGGCAATCGCGAAATACAGCCGAGTTAAGTAAGCCCAATAAAAGATAGGTCGCATGAGGTTGTTCCATCTTAGACAGGTGCAATAAAAATACTGCATTGCACCAATTCATCAGTTAATCATTCTAGTGGAACTGTACCCAAGCGAATCTTACAGTAGCGTTGGAATAAAGATGACACAAGCGGGAGTATTCAACTGTTCAGGTTTACAGGAAAATGGTGCACTTGAGTCAACTGGTTTTCATAACCTCAGCTAAGTTAAAGTTGGCGGATGAAGAACTGAAATTACAGCTGTAATCGCTCTAACAAATGTGAAACGGAACAGGAAACATCAACATCATGTCAAAAACTAGTCAGTTACTTGCCGGGAGTGTTCACTTTCTACGGATGTTCCGGAGCGATTTATCTTTGAATGCATGGTCCAATTTGGACATGTCCGCTTGATTGCAATTTGCCACCAAAGCGACAAAGCGTTGCTTTTGGTAGGCTTCGGTAATGGTAATGTAACGCAGTGTAGCTGAACTGCAGTGAAGAAGCATGATACATGCAACATCAAACCTTGGCATAGGGACACTCGTATGTGGTCATCTGCTTTCGGATTACCAGTAGGGCAAATGTAGAGTGCCAGCATCTTTGCATAAACTATGGTTGCTTGTTGCTGCTCTGCAACGCTCGTCTAATTATTGTAGTATCAGTGCAAAGTCCTCGTCTCCGATGTTACGAGAGGGCGTATTCCGTTCTGACTCAACTCGCTCCATAATGTTTGTCCGATTTAGCGTGCACGGTCCATTTTCAGTCCGTAGTGCCCGGTCCCACATTTGGCCTGTTTGGCATAGCCCCGCCGTGGTCTCGTTACTGACTGGCCGGACTGGCTGGGCAGCATGCACTACAGCTCCATGTGGGGGTAGCCGAAGCATTGTAGTCCGCCAGCAGCTGATGCATGCGTGCTGCACGTCTAAGTTCCCGGTACACCTATCGTGTTTCTTGCGCTTGATCAACGGTACGCGTGATGAGATCACGCCAGGTGCGGCAATTCGTTGCCAACCTCTTAGGTCAATACCTACTCGAGGTCAGTTAACATTGTTCTTGTCTTGCTAGCGCAACTTTGCCTACATTCCGGCCACCTGCGCTCAGTTGCCCATACAACAGTTGCTTCGAGATTTTCGTCGCATTCACACGACGCACATGTCCAAGCCACCGGAAGTGTCGCAGCAGTAGCATGCAGTCCATGTTGTCCACGTCGCTCCGGCGGATCACATCAGTGTCCTGTACATTGTCCCACCAGTGGATATGCATAATCAGGCGAAGAAACCGGATATTCTTTCTGTACAGTGTCCATGTTTCCGATCCATAGATAAGGACAGAGAGAACCACGGACTTGTACACTATCACATTGGTTCTAACAGTGAAAGGGTGATTCTTGCACACCCGATGTTCCAGTTTTCCAAAGTTGCACTCGCCTTTGCTGCACAAGCGCGCAGTTCGTCGGTGATCCGCAGGTCGGTTGACAATGTGCTCCCGAGGTATCAGAATGCTGACTTCTGTACTACTTCACCTGCAGTCCGTATTTATGGCCTGAACATGAGCTCCACTCCGGATGCCGGCTGAAATAGGCATACAGTCTTGCCCAGGTTTATGCTGTGTCCAAACCTGGTCCCCATGGAAGCTAATGCAGTTGTCATGCATTGCAGTTCCTCCTCGGTGTGTGCAAACAACACAGTCGTCAGTAAACAGCAGCATACGAATGCTTGTCTCACGCACTACGCTTCTTACTCCAAAACGGCGGATGTTCACCAAACCCCCATCGGTGCTGTGCTCCAGAGGCGCACTTTATTCACACATGTTGAATGCGCACGACATCACAGCAGTCAGATGGTTATTGATTGGTGTGGTGGCTTACACTCATTCTTGCTTCACACCGGTGATAACAACGAAGTCTTCTGTAGTCTCTCGATTCAGCTGCACCCTTGCTCGCATGCCATTGTGCAGGCATTCACTCAAACTAATAAACTTTCCAGAGCATCCAAACTTTGAGAGGATCCGCGACAACGCCACATGGTGCACCGTATCAACTTAATGCGAATACAACGGTTCATTGCGTTCACGACATTTTCTTGTACTTGACATGCTGCGAACACCATGTCGATGGTGCTTCGGCCCGAGCGGAATCCACATTTTTCCTCAGATACGTTCGGTTCCAGTATATGTGTCACAAGGCGATTGAAGAGGATGTGCGCAAAATTCTTGCCGACACGGCAAAGTAAGTTGGCGCCATCCTAATTGCTGGTGTATTGCTTACTACCCTTTCCCCTGTTCAGTGGAAGCGGGCACTTGCTCTTCCATCCAGACGGCTTGCACCAAACGATGGAGTGCGCAAATCATAACTGGTCCACCGTTCTTCAATATTTCCGGTATACCATCAGCACCAACGCATTTCCCATTCCGTAGATGGGCAATCGCTCTCTGTGTCTCGTACATTCCCGATGTGTCCTCAAGTTCGGCTAGTATGCTGTGGTGTTGCAGCTCGGCAGTGAGTCCCAGTCAACCTCGGATCGATTGTTCAGGAGGGTGTCAAAGTGTCTGTACCACATGTGCAATATGTCATCAGATTTTGTGTAGACGGCGCCTGTCCCAAAGTGCTTCAGGGTGTTCATTTACGGCACGGTGTGCCCGTACACCGCCTTCAAGGAGTCGTAGAAATCGTGTTGTTGATGGTGTTCAGCGTAGGATTTCATCTGCTCAGCTTTCATTGTCCATCACACATCTTTCAGCTGAAGCAGCTCTCTAGTTAACTGCCTCCGAATGTGACGAAAATTATTGCTCTTAATCGCGTTGTTAGGGTCAACCTCGGATGCAATGAACGCTGAGCTTTTTGCTCGTACTAATGGCATATTCGTGCTGTTTTCGTAGAACCAGTCTGGCTGCTCGCAGTTTTTGCACCCAATCGTCTCCTCCGTAGCACTGGTCTCATGTTTCGCTAAGTGATGCCATAGATAGCTGACCGAAGCCGAGGAGTCGTCTTCGCCGAGACGGCTCGTTATGGCATCCTCCAGCGCTTGTCTCTTTTCTGCACTCGAAAGGGCGCGGACGTTGTATTCCTTCCGATTGGTACTCGATGGAAAGTACGACTCTTTGTAGACATTTATACGGTATTCGGTAATATACTGTTCATTATGATGTCTGGATCACGACTTGCGCGACCATTTTGGCGACAAGTGCTCTTCATGACCACCCCATTGCCTTACGGTTGAATTATTCAACCAAAGCTTCTGACTAGTGTCCCCTCCTTCAGCATGAGCAACGATGTAATATCATTTTCTCTGAAGAGATTCTTGATTTGCCTGTGCTGTGCTCCGTTTAATTTTTTCAACAGATGTACTTTCTTTGATTTCCATGGTTTTCATGGCTCCATGCCTATTCGTAGCCTGCTGAAATTATAATGCTTGGATACCTTCGTACATGGTGTTGGAGTGCGATCGCTATTGTCGAAGTACACTTCGTTTTCATCTTCTGTGTTACCATATCTGTGCATACTAAGCCATTTTTTTACTAAGGGCCTTTTCGAATATTGTGCCCACCGATTCTTTACAAGAATGCGACCGATATGCATGCATTTATTCGCAATTATTTGTCCGCTTTTTTCCTGTTTAGCTTCATCTGTAACCAATCCGTTTTGGTTTTCTTCTCCAGAACAACGACCACACACGTGTGAACATTGTGGTAAATCGTTTTCCCAGAAGGGCAATATGCAAAGACACTATAAGGTCGTTCATTTGAGTGAGTGTGCAGTTGACAGTGCCTCTGAAGCCTGATTTGTATCGCTGGCGTTGCGCCATCTTTTGGGATATCACTTGGCTTCGGTGAAATTACTCCTATTCCCGTTTCAAACATCTTATTTTGTTGCTCTTACAGCTGTCATATGTGGGCCTCCAAATTGATTTGTCGCTATATATATATATATATATATATATATATATATATATATAATCATTCCGGATTTTGTCGGTCACTGTGACCTTCGCGGGGACAGCCATAGGATGCCTGCGTCTACAGAGGGACATGGATGACTTGCGTTGCACCACTCACAGCTACATCCTCACACCTCATGTCCAGTGTGAAGCCGAAAGAATCAAGTCTGGATGAGTATAGTTGGAAGCCACGCTTCATCAGCGGAGTCGGCCCACACCTCTTGAACAAGCAGATCAGTCCCATTCATGGCCAACTGGGAAATCATGCATACCAGATGTACACGAGGCGGTGGCTGGGCCGTAGCCCTTTCCACACTACTTGCAGCAATCATTCTTTGAGCCTAATACTGTCACAAGGACCGTGCACCCCGTCTCTTCCAGCAACGTTTAGCATTCTCTTGAAGCCAGTACAGAGGAGGTTGTTGGTAGGCTCCATGTCAACATTCACTCCAAGAGCAGCTAAACTGGGGATATCACTCGCCTGCCAACCATTGAAATGCTAGAAATTCTACATGCCAGCACAGGTACAGACCAACTAGAGCGTCGCTGCAACATACGTGCCACATTAGCCGCCTTATTGGCCAGGGTTAGTAAATCTAATGGATGCGGACACAGCGTGCCTTCCAATCGCTGCGCTGAGTTTGCTCCGATAATCTGCTGACGTCGTCTTTTGGATGCGGACTCCATGTAGCCACGCTGGTGGCCTACCAGGCCCACTTGGCTACAGCACCGTGCTCTTCACGTCGATGGGTAGACCCCATTGGTGTCTTTCTCTTCCCTACCCGGCGTTTCTCTTCCGCGTGCAATAGTGCCTTCTTCTACACCTTGGGCAACCGCTCACTTGATCAACTCACGTCATTCCCGCCGAACAACTGCTTTTGACTCCAAGCTCCTGAAACCAACATTAGTGCTTGATAAACTCATCTTTATCATGTCTTGGTTACGTACTTTCGGTTTTTACACAGGTCGCTTGCCTGCACTAGGCCTTACAAAAGCTCTTTGCTTATCCTCTTCGAATCCATACGTCTGATATACACCAGCCACCTCATGTGTCGCAATTGAATTACGCAGTCCACTGCATACTTTCCACTGCGGCGCAGTGCTTCTGTGTCTACAGCCTTCTCACATCAACCGATGTGCAGAATCCGTCGGAGACACTGCTGTTAGAAGCACTCCAGATATCTGACATCCTTCCGATAAGGCGTTCAGGTTTCGCTGCTGCAGAGAAGAACGGACAGCACCATCGACTTGTATACCAGAAGCTTCGTTCAAACAGTAAGTTGGTGGTTATTCCACACACGTTTCTCCAGGTTGCCAGACACAGCTGCCTCTTCCTGAGGAGGACCACCTATTTAGCATGTTTCAGCGCAATTCCTACCCTAGAAGCTTTATTCTACGCTGCCTTATGTCGAAGAGCCAGTCACAACCCGCGTCCATATGTGCAACAGAAAGAAGAACGATTATCCTACCTTACATCCATGGGATTTCTGAAATGGCTGCGAGGCTTCTAATGCCTCACGGGATAACTGTTGCACACGAAGCAACGGAAACCATACGAAGTAAACTTGTTAAAGTGAAGGACAAACTGTCTAGGAAAAAAACATCCGGTGTAGTTTACAAAATTTCCTGCAAGCACTGTGACAAGTACTATGTAGGCCAGACTGGAAGAAAACTTGGCACAAGACTGCACGAACATAGTCTGGCCATCCACCGCCACGGTGAAAAATCCTTAATGTTAGTACACATGGATGCTGAGAACCATCAGTTCGATCTGGGAACGTTGAAATACTTGGAAGAGCAAGGAACCGAAGAACGCGTGAGTTCCTCGAGGCCTGGCATTCTGGCCGGAACTCAATCAACAAACACCTGGAGCTAGAGGATGTCTACGTAGTTCTGCATGTTAAGCCAGCATTAGGCACCAGATCGACAAGGAGAAGACGTGCCCACTCGACTGACTCACGTGAACCGATCGAACGCTGCCATTCGAAGCAGGCAACAATCAATAGTCACTTGGATCTGGTGTTGGTTTACGATACTCCGCGAATCAGTACTGAATAGCCGCACTGAAGATGTTGTCTAGTTTGGTAACGAAACATCTTCAATAGAAATGTCGGGCTCGGAGAACAGGACAATCCTCTCACTGACTATTCTTCCCCGAGTTACTAGGATCTGCGACATGTGCAGCAAATGCTCCATTCTTCTCCGACACCAATGTGCCAATCGGCGCATTGTTTTCATCAAACCAATCGGGCCGCTTACAGTTTGCGCGCCTGATGGTCTCCTTGGCAGCAGCTGTTACCTGGTCTCGAATGTGGTGCCCCAGGTCACCCACTGTGGCTATGCATTTCACATCACACAAACGTGCAGCCATCGCATTCTCCAACTCAATACGTTTCGCCACAGTACCGAGGGAGAGAATGTTAACTTTACGCCGGTTAACGGCAGGTGTGCAACATAGATTTACGAAAATATATGTACAGTTTGGTCCGCACCAATTTGTGCTTAGTCCCACACAGCTCCACGCAGTACACGTGTCATGCGCACTTCATGCTTGTCACGCTGATGAGATAGTCGAGCAGCTGAGCGTGACCACTCCGTCGGTGCGTCCAGATGGCTCTGTCACTCGCACTCAGTGTAAACCGAGTGTTCGTGATCGTCAGGCCGTGAGTGGCACAACGTGAGAACATTTGACTGGATAAGGTCACTTGACAAACATAATTCAGAAGGAATGATGATAATCTCAACTCGTAACTTATGCCCACGGTAAAATCCGTAATCCTAGTTGCCAAGAATTACTCACTTTTCGGTGACTCTTCAAGCATTACGTTTATAAAAAGGTGTACATCAACAGGTGTGTTTGTGAAAGTAATGAAACTGATTTGAACAAAGCTGGTGAACTCAGGCAATACTAACATTGATACACTCAAAGCAGGTCTCGTGACAACCAGTAAGATGAAGATCATCCTCGTTTGCTGTCAACGTCGTATGCGGAGGCGTTGCCACTCGACCATGGTAACAGGAGGACTTGGAGAAGAGCCCTTTGCTTGCCCAATTCTCGCTTAGTCACTCTGATTGTAATCACCTCTGCCGTCTTCAGGTGACGCTTTCTAAGTCCTTTAGGATATTGCTTTGATACGGGCTAGAAGACTGTATAAATCTTTTGTCCGTATCTCATGGTCACTTTGAATTAGATGCTCCATGGTAGCACTGTTAAGATTTCTGACCGTTCCTCTTCGTAGGGAACCCGAACAGTGTCCTGTGCATTTGGACAAACGTCTGGTCGTGTGCTCAATATATCTTACACTACAGGTGCAACTAAACCGATATAGGACATATGATTGGGACTGAACCGGTAGTCTATCCTTAAAGCATTGTGTTGTCAACGGAATCATCTGCGCACGAACACGCAGGTAGACGGATGAGTGGGCTTTAGCGACTGCTGTAGAGTATCGTCCGCTCAATAGATCAAAAGCGACATCATCTTTGAAATTATCCGAGGGAAAGACGCCTTTCTTCCGGGCAGCCAGAACAGTTTCTTGGCGCACACCGACCGTGGCGTGTTTTCTGTTGAAATGATCGGGATAGCGATTATCTTGCAGTATACGAAAGTTGCGGTCCTTCTCTTTTCCCATGTCTCCTGGTTACAGATTTTGGCGGCGCTATAATACAAGAAACTAACCAAGTTTCGTTTGTACTTCATAGGTACAAAACTCAGGAAGTGGGTGTACTGGTCTACCCATGTTGTTTTCCGGAGGATGCTTCCTTCAGTTGACCCATCCTCATGTCGCTTTAGCAATACGTCCAGGAAGGCTAGTTTATCATCATTTTCCACTCCACTGGTATAACGCAGCTAAGGATGCGTCCCGTTGAACTGAGCTTGCAAACGAGTGACATCGATGCTTCAGTCGCAAACGTACCAGCCGTGTACCTCCAGTATGCATCAAACGAAGAGATTCCTGACTGTAGGCGTCCACGTTCAAGCTTAGTTAGAAAAATATCCGCAAGAGGCGGTCCGAGGGGGAACCCATCGCCATATCGTCTATCTGCCTATAATATAAACCATCAAATGAGAATTCTTTTCTAAAAGTACACCGCAGGATTAGTTCCTGTAGTTTGTGAGCTAGAATACCAACCTCTATAGTTTTTTCGGTTCTGTAGTCACACAAAGAAACGTTGATGAGGCGTGATTCCACTTCGAGAGATAGCATTCACTTGCCATTAACTTTTAACTTGACACATTCGAATGAATCTTTCACTGCGTGCATGGACAATTCTCTACGTACCGGTTATAACATCTTCACAAGCCACTTTGCGACCAAGTGGAAAGCTGAGGCTGACGTATCAATTATCGGACGCAGCGGGATCTGTGGCTTGTGCACCTTAGGTAACCCATATCGTCGAGGTGATTGGAAGCCCACCGGGGTTAACCGATCAAGCAGCGAGTCATTGTTCAAATTCATGTGCTTTAATTCCTTCAATATCTTCATGTTTTTCGTCTTTTTCTCTGTGCTTTTATCCTTTTGAACTGTTTTACGCAGAAATTTCCTTGAATCTTGTAAAATCATATGAAGTTTAGAATTGTAGTCAGTTTTATCCATTAGTGCCCATCCAGATCCTTTGTCTGGTCTGGAAAGTACCAAAGCAGGATTACATTTCAATTCTTTAACGGCTTCTCGGTGCTTTTAGACAGCAGGTTTGATGGTTTCAGTTTAAAGTTTTGATGTTGTTGTGCTAGGTGCATCAGGGTGATTTTGAATGAATCACTTGCAATTGAAGACATGGGTGTTAGCTCAGTTAATTGTTGCATCA